TGGTGTTGTTTACTCGTTCACTCACACGTGTCGCTGCAGTTCCTTTGGTCCGCTTGGCTGCCTGTATTAAAGGGTAGAAACTGTAGCACTTAAACAAAAGCAGCTTTCTTAAGTTATAACCCACCTATCAAAAAATTGTACAATTTGTGGGTTTTCACGAGTATATTCAGAAGGTTTTACAACCTTCACCTCCTGTCTGATACCATAACTTCGTCACCTTCAGAGAAACTCTGTGCCCCTTAGCAATCTCTCCCCAGTCTCCCCTCTCCTAGTGCATTGGCAGCCACCAGTCTGTTTTGTGTCTCTGTGTGTTTTCTTACTGTGGATATGCTATCAAATGCCATCATATAGTATGTGGCTTCTTATGGCCGGCTCCTTTCATTGAGCATAATCTTTTCAGTGCTCATCCAGGCTGCAGCATGTCAGTACCTCACTTATTTTTGTGGCTAAAGAACATGCCATTGTATGGGCGTACCACACTGTGTATCTGCTTATCAGTAAATGGACATTTGGTGGTTTCTACCTCTTGGCTGTCATAAATAACGCTTGTGTGAACTCAGGTATACTTTTTTTTGTGCAAGCAGATATTTACATTCCCCTTGGTTGTACACCTAGGAGTGGTATTGCTGGGTCAAATGGTAATGGTGTTTGTTTGTCCCTTTGAGGTACTGCGAACACACCACTTGTTTTCACATAGAGAATTTAGTGTAAGGAGTATAACCTGGGCACTGAAGGAGTGAAAAAGTACAAGAAGGGCTCTAAGGTGTCGTGGCAGCAGGGACTGTGTCTGTCCTTAGAGCTGTGGGAACACCAGGAAGAGGTTGGGCTTGTGACAGAAACTCAAGGGAGGGACCAGGATAAGGGGCCACTGCTGGGTGGTGCTGGGGTCTCTGAGGGGGACAGGTTCTGCACATGTTGGAAGAGTTGCAAACTGGATTTGGCTTCTGCAAGGAAAACCTTGATCACACAGGGCTGGTTTCCACCTAGGCATGAACGTGAGGTGTAGGGGAGACAGGGAGCACACGGGTCTGCTCTCCTCCTGGGTTGTCTGGCTGCAGTGCTGAGCTGTCTTCTGAGCCCAATGCCAGCGTTTGGAGGTGGGCTGTCTTCCGAGCCGTGGCCAGCCGCTGTCTCCTTAGGGTTCCCAGCTTCCCGCTGAAGGGATGTTTGGGTGATACACACTATTAGAAGAGACTCTGCATCATGCGTTGTGGATGTTGGGACAGCAGCCCACTGGTCACTGAGTGGACTCAAGCCTGGCAGTCCCGTGGAGGCTATGGGGCAAGCATGCTTGTGCCACTCAGCCTGGAAACCACGTGGTTCCAAGTTTGCCACCGTTGACATTTACACAAAAACTCCTACATTTGTTCTGTGCCTTTACCTGACCTCAGCCTGTTGCTGGCCCCTTGCTGTGCCTATGTGAGAGAGTGTTGCAGGGCTGGCCCTGGCTTTCTCGAGGAGCTCCTGGAGAGCACTGCTGTGAGGCTCAGGGAATCCAAAGTGGTATCCCAAGCTCTCCCTTGGCTGTCACTGTTGCAGTGTGTTTGGGGTCCCCAAGGCCACCATTAGGCACATTGATTTGCTTGAAGGAGGCACAGAATTGAGCAAGGTATCATACTCATGGTTGTGGTTTATTGCAGTGAAAGGATACAGATTAAAGTCAACACTGGAGAAAGGTGCCTCGCCTGGGAGATACTGGGCATGAGATCTGGGTGTCCTTTCCTGATGGAGTCATGTTGGTCGTGCTTAATTCCCCAGCAAGGATGTGCTAGGTCTGGTCCACCAGGAGGCTCGCCTGAAGTGCTGTCCAGGGTTTTACTGGGGGTCAGTCACACAGGTGTGGAACATGACTGACCCTGGTTACTCAGCCTCAGCACCCCCCAGGGTTCAGACTGATATGGTGTGGCCCAAGGTCACGCTCCTAAGTCACGTTGTTGGCATAGCCATCTGGTATGATCCAGGGCCTTAGGTAAACAAAGATGTTCTTCTCAGGCAGACTCTTCCAAGGGCTTAGAGGTCCCCTCCTGGGAGCAGGTGAAGGGCCAGACTTTTGTTTGGAACGTGCGGGGTTTGGACAGCTCAGGCCTGCGGTGTCAGCCCTTTACTGAGACCGCAGCTGCAGCTGAAGGGTGCGTCTAGTGACTGTTTTCCTTGGTGTTTCAGTGCCTTGGGTTTCAGGGGCTTGGGGCTTACTCTTGAGGTATGTGTGCGGCTGTGAAGCAGAATGGGGCTGCGTGTTCCCAGGACAGTGTGAAGGAAAAGCCGGGCTAGGCTAACAAGATAACTCACAAATCTAAGTGTAACAAGTGTTGGATTACTGATCTAAATTCTGCTGGGATAACTTGTAAATCTAAGTTAATTAGTGTCGGTTTGCTGATTCCCTGTTCATGTGTTTTTTTTTTGCTAGCCAGCTGGATTTTCAGAGAGACATATCTGGCCTTGAAATGTTGGTTTGCTGCCTCCCTGCCTGTACTTTTGTGATAATGATGCTGCTTAAGCTGTTTCATGCCTATTGGCTGAATACCCCAAGCTTGTAATTAACCCTATAAAACCTCACACACACGTCTTGGAGGTTCTCAGAGCTTCGGAGCAGAAGCCCCTCTGAGCCCGCTGGCGTAATAAATCTGAGTACTCCAACCCTCCGAGTGGTGCTTGTTTCTTGCTGGCCTGTCATTTCTGTAACAGCAGGGTGTCATGTGTGAATCAGAGGGCAGGTCCTTGTCTTATCCAGCTCCGTTCCAGGCCAGTGTCTAGCCCAAGCTGGTGCAGAGAATGCTCGAGGACACTTGCCATGTGTTGACCTCAGGATTGATTCATTGGCTTGGGTGCCTGACCCTTTGTCCCCTCTAACAATCCTCTCCCTTCGGCACTGACCCAGGCCCCTCCTGAGGACCAGCAGTCTGGAGACCTGGCAGAGCTCGCTAAGCCCTTCACGGAAGGAGCTCAGGTGAGCTGTGAGTCCTCGAGTCAGATGCCACATCCTGCTAAAACTACCCCCAACCCTTCCTCACCCTGGGCTGGGCTGTGGTGGGGCGGGGGGGGGTCCCATTCAGGAGCTGGGCTCAGCCCCCACCGCTCCCACCTCTCACCCTCGAGCTCAGCCCTGCAACCTTACCAGCTCCTTGGGCTGGATCGGTGCCCCCAGGCTCATTCCATCTGAATACAGAGTAGGTGCTTGTCCCCAGGGCACCAACCCAAAGGCCCAGGAGCAAGGCTGAGGCCCGGACTTGGTTGCCTGGTCTTGGCTGCTTCTAGCTGGGGGCAGATGGTGCTGCCAGGAGAGCTGGAATCCAGGTTTTCATTGAGGGCACCCAGTTCACAATTGAAAATGGCATCGGTTAGGCCCAGAGGACATATCTGTGGGCAGGATTGACCATGCTGGCCTGTGGGGGGCTGGGGCTTCTGCCATGTCAGGGGCACCAGCTGTGCCTCCTGGGCTGGTTTTGATCTTTGCTTCTCTCAGCCTCTGGGCAGCCCTGGCCCCGACCCCAGCAGGCTCGTCCTCTCCGGCTCACTGTCCACCCTAGGGTGCATCTTATTATATTTTGTTGTAGTTTCTGTTGCACAGAGATAGAAGAGGTACACCGGTCATTATCTGTCCTCCCATTTACTAAAAAAAGTTTTTTTTTAATGTAACGTGTTTGCATTATAAAGTAATTCAGACCTTAACAAGAGTATATAAAGTTGAAGCCTCACATGTCTACCTCTTGGAGAATAACAACTGTTCACCATTGTATGCCCTCCTCCCTTCTCTTATGTGCACACATGCGGTGCACAGACGTTTCCAAAGAGAGCCCCACTGTTTGCACTTTGTCTCGTGTTGGGGTCCCTTCTGGTAGCACAGGCAGCTCCACCTGTTCTTTTTAGTGGCCCTGTTGGAGGCCGTTGTCCAGCCCAGCTGGGGCCCTTGGGCCACCGTCCATTTCTCATTCCCGGACACATACCTTTGTCTTGGCTGCTGCCCCTCTTTCTCTTCTACCCTCTGCTGTCCAGATGGCCCTGAGAGATAGGGACCAAAGCTCATCACTGTGGCACAGGGCACTTGCCTGTTTGTGATCCTGGGGGCTTCCCTAGGGAGAGAGCGACTTGGTCACACATGGATGGAGGACAGATTAGCCAAGGAGCACAGCTGGAGTCTCTGGCCAGGTGAGGTGGGAGAGTGGGCTATATTCTGGCCCTCCCCACCTGGGTCTTCCCGAGATAATGCAATTCCTGGGAAGGCCTGCAATAACTCTGCCCAGATCTGCCCAAGTGGGGCCCTGCAGATATCCTGCTGGCTGCTGCTTTATGGTAAAATTCCCAGCACAGATCATGAGTGCAGAGCTGGGCTCTGAGAGATGCTGTTCCTGGAAGAACAAGGTGCTTGGTCTACCCCATTGTGAAAGGACACAGGGGAAGATGTGCTCCTTGCCTGCTGCTCCAGGAGCCAGTCTGGGTAATTTACATACACAGGTATTTCCTCCGGAAACAAATCAAAACCAACACACCCACAGAAGCAGAACAAAACCCATGGATCCTGACCCCCTTAATTACATTGCTTGAGGTCTCTGCAAGCTCAGGGCTGTGAAGTGTGTTTGCTGTACCTGGACAGCTGGTTCCCCTCTTGGCCTGGCTGCCCCGGAGCTCAGAGCTGGGGTTTATGCACAGTCACTGTCTGTTCCTGGCCTGGGATGAGGTGCTGTTTGTTTCTGGTGTCTGTATTTGCTCTGACACCTGCCACCCTGGGCCCTTCAGGAAGCTGGCAGGTAGGTGATTTGGGATGGTGTTGCCAGTTGGGGGCATCCTCATGAAGTGGTCCTGGGTTTTCAGAGGTCTGCTGCAATCCTGTGGATGAAGCTCTAGTCCACGGGGCTGGAATTCATCCAGTGGGAAGTGAACACTGTGACTAGATGTGGCCCCAGATCTCCTACCTTGAGAGAGACTAGTGAGTGATCTCTTGGTTTTACTGGGTCCCATCAGCACTTCCCACCAGTAAACGTTGTCTCCCCATTTTATGGCAGGTCAGGGCCGAGATGCCCTGAAGTCAGCAGGCATGGGATGGGAACAAATATTCTCTTCCTGGGCCCGGAGAGAGGGATGCTGGCCTCAAGACCCCCATGAAGAGGCTGCTGAGCGCAGGCCAGCGCCGAAGCGTCAAGCGGAACCATAAGGCCATCAACCTGCAGGTGAAGCTAGAGGTGCTACGGCGCTTCGAAGCTGGAGAGAAGCTCAGCAGAATCGGGAGGACCCTGGGACTCTCCACCTCCACCGTGGCCACCATTTGTGACAACAGGGACAAGATCCGAGCGAGTTCCCAGGCAGCCACCCCGCAGGCGGCCACTAAGCTGATGTGCAGCTGCAGCCTGGTGATGGAGAACATGGAGCGGTTGCTGAGCGTGTGGATCGAGGACCAGAACCAGCGCAATGTGCTGGTTAACGTGGTGCTCATCCAGGAGAAGGCCTGCAGCCTGTTCCAGGAGCTCAAGCAGACGCAGGGCGGGGGTGCTGAGTCTGAGACATTTGGAGCCAGCCGCGGCTGGTTCGCACGCTTCAAGGCGTGGCACGGGCTGGCCACCCCGGGGGCTGGTGGCGAGGCGGCGCACGTGGATGCAGAGGCTATGCGCAGGTACCCGGTGCTGCTGTGGAGGGTGATCCTGGAGGGCGGCTACACGGCCCAGCAGGTGTTCAACGTGGATGACACCCGGCTCTTCTGGAGGTGGCTGCCGGACTGGACGGTCCTTTCCCCGGCCAAGAAGCCGGCCCCTGGGCTCAGAGCCGCCCGAGATCTCCTGACCCTGCTGCTCGGTGGCAACGCAGCCGGAGACTTCAAGCTGAAGCCGCTGCTGGTGTACCCCTTGGAGAACCCACGTGCCCTCAGGGGCTTCTCCAAGCCTAACCTGCCAATGCTGTGGCGCTCGCACAAGAAGGCCTGGGTCACCATGAGCCTCTTCCAGGAGTGGTTTGTGTACTTCTGTCCCCCTGTGGAGAGGTACTGCGCCCAGCACGGGCTCCGGCATAAAGCGCTGCTCATCCTGGATAGTGCTCCCGGCCGGCCCACGAACCTGGACGACCTCTCTGACCACGTGCGCTTGGAGTACCTGCCGAAGAACACCACGGCCCTCCTCCAGCCCATGACCCAGTACGTGGTTGCCACCTTCAAGGCCTGCTACCTGCGGAAGCTCTTCCGCCTGTTGAGAGCACGGGCGGGAAGTGCAGGTGAGCAGTCGGCGGTCCTGGACTTCTGGAGGGACTACAGCATCCTGGACGCTGTGTACAACATCTCCGAGTCCTGGGAGGAGGTCTCTTCCGTGGCGCTGAATGGGGGCTGGCGGAAGCTGTGGCCCGAGTGCCTCCAGCACGATGCTGGCAGCCGGCAGGTGGAAACCCTCTCGCAGATCCGGTGGGACGTTGCGGCGCTGGCGCACTGTGTGGGTTTCAGCGAGGTGGTGGAGGCGGATGTGGTGGAGCTGCTGCAGAGCCAGGGCGCTGACCTGTCCAATGAGGAACTGGTGGGGCTGGAGTAGGAGCGGGCAGCTGGGGAGGAAGGCGAGGACAGCTTGGCTCCCCCCCACCCCCCGGCCAGCTGACGGCCAGGTACCTGGCCAAGGCCCTAGCACATTTTGATGCTGGCCTGCAGATCCTCAGGGACAATGATCCCAACCTGGAGTGCAGTCTCGGCGTCTTCAGGGGTGTGAACAACGCTGTCAGCTGCTACCAAGAGCTCTTCAAGGAGAGAGGCCGCAAGTAGTGTGTGTGCGCGCGCTCACAGCGGTGGGGTTGGGAGTTCTGAGGCCTCCGGATTTTGTGGGGGAGAAGGGGTCCTCCCTTTACATCTTTCCCGTGGAAGTTACACTGGTCTGCATGTTTCCATTTTGTTTTATTAACTCCTCAAATTTTTTTTTGTCAGCAAATAATTTATTATCTCAAGTGAACTTCTCAAATACACCATTTGGAAAGCCTTGATGAGTTCTCAAGTGATCTCATCGCACCGTTGGCCTATTGGACCATGCATACTCGGTCCCTTGGTGGAAGTCCACAAGGAAGCCAGGCTTCTGGCAGATATTCCTGGCTCCTTGCTCACTGCTCTGAGCTCTCCTGGAATTCAGACATGGGGCTCATGGAGGTGGTGGACATCCAGTCCAGAGAGGGGTTCTGCTGGTTTTCTGGTCCTCCGACCCTTTACCTGGGCTTCAGGACCTGCAGAAGCAAAGGCTGGCCCCAGATGAGACTCAGGATCCAGAGAGTAGGTCTGGGTGGAAGGAGTGCCTGGCCACACACCTGCCTGCTCCATTCCTCCGGGGCCCTGGGTGCTTTTCGTCACCATGTTCTGTTCTCTGAAATGGTCTGTGCCCTGCTGACTTGCTGGGGAGAGGGAGGAGGGACTCCACCCTGTTGTGGGGCAGCTAGCAAGGCAGCAAACTCGCCAGGTCCCCTGCTCCCAGTGCGGGGAGTCCTCACAGCTACAGACAGCCTGGCCACACCTGGTGCGAGTTCTCCCTCTCTTCTTGTCTCTCTCCGGCCTGTGTGCCCTCTCTCCACCGGTTTCTGTTTGACTCCTGCCTTGTCCTCTTGACTCTTCTTCCTGTGGACCTGGGCTCATTCTAGGCAGTGGTGACATTTGGAGACAAGGCCCTGAATCCCACATGGGATGACTGGAAGCCACTCAGTGCCCCACAGAAGGCAGCCTGCACAGATGTGACCCATTTGGGTAACAATGTGGGTTTTGGGTTAGGGTTGGTCTTCCTGCAGGACACACAGGTCCTCAGGTGAGTGGTCCTTGTTTCCATACACGGGGCCTTGTTAGAGGAAGCCTTTAAATGAGCTTGACTTCCTTCCGCAGGAATTGGTGGGGGTGGGGGGTGCTGTGGGTTAGGCCAGGAGATTGGTCAAGGGCTAAACTTGGCTTGTGGGTTTTGATGGGGATCCCAGATGCCCTTGTGTTTCCCCTCTGCTGTCCGTACACACCTCTGCACACCTGGCTGAGGTATGCCCAGCCTGACCTCAGATCACACACAGGAAACAAGAAGTCACTGCTGGCTGGACCTTTACACCTGAGCTGGCAACTCTTTTGCCCCAGCTCTCTGGACCTCTTTGGGCCCCACAGCTCTGGGCTCTCCTGGGAGTGGCCCTGTGGGTGTACCAGACCAGGGCTGCTGGGTAGCTCCTGTGTGGCTCTCTGCACCACTCAGTGTAGAGCCAGAGTCAGAGGAGAGACTGGCTTTAAAGCCACCTTGGGCATATTAATCAGATGAGGGATGAGTCACGTGGCTGTGGGGTGTGTGGTCCATCCCCATCTAGACGTCCAGTGAGGGCAAGCTGCCCTGGCAGGGAGGCCTGGCTGCGTGTTTTCCAGAAACTGAAACCTCTGTGCCATTGTCACAGCTCCCAGCTGTGTCCAGGGAGAACCTAGGGTGTGATGCCAGTTCTGTCACTGTTTTAAGCTTTTGCCGTCTAAAAAGAGGACAGTCCCATGCACTTCACAAGTGACAAGCGAGATAGTGAAACAAGTGAAAAACGCCAAACTACGAGAGAAGAAATGTTCCCTCTCACTTCGCCAGCTGAAGCGATTTGATGTTTGCACTGGGAATGAGGGAGGGCTGTTGGTCCCCCGTCAGAGGCAACCCCAGCTTTCACTGCTACGTCAAGATTGAAGGATGCAGGAAGTGCTGCCTGAGGCCCAGGTGAGCATGGTTGGCGGGGGGAGCATGGGGTGCAGGCAGAGCTGAGGGAGTAGTGGGAGGACGTGACAGGAAGCTCTGTCAGCACTGTCCAGCAGAAGCTGCATCCCTTCTGAAGAAAGGTGTTGCGGTGAAGCCTGTGGTGTTTGTGGGGCTGGGGCCTGCTGCCTGGTGGACCTCATGACATGCAGTCCTGAGCCAACAGACAGTCCAGATTCATCATGGCTGGCCAGGACTGCACCACCGATTTGTCCAGTTGAGGCCTCTGACCAGCAGAGATGCTGCGGATGTAGCCAGGTGTCCCTTCCATTGTCCAGTCTGAGAACAGTGGAGCCTTTTCAAGTGAGGTGATGGGTGCACTGAGAGGTGTGTGGAGTGGCTTAGCCATTGTGACCCACTGGCTTTCCTCCTGCTGGTCTCCTCACTCTCCAGCTTAATTCAGATATCATGGACTCTGGACAACCTTCACATATTCCGTGAGATTACTTACTTCCTCCAGATGTTTGCACATTTCTTATTCCGAAAATTTAAATTTAATTGTAATTATGTGTTTATGAGTTTGTCCCTCTAAAATTGGGAATGAAGTCTGATCGCCAGCCACTGTTACAGAGGCTTAATTCTAGGTCAGCCCAGCCAAGAATCCAGGCTCCTTTCTCCATGCCGTCTCCGCCCATGGGGCAGAGGCTCTGCCTCAGGTGCAGCATGATGACAGTACAGGGCCCCATCTCCCTCAGCCCAGGGCACCTGTGGGGGTTGGAGTCTGTGCCATGATGAACAGGCTGCCACTCCAGCTCAGCACCCTGCTCAGGAAGAACAGGTGTCCCTTTGGGGGAAGTCGGTCCCTGTCCCTCCCCTGCTGCAGAGAAGGGAATTAGATACGTTACTCGGGGAGAGAGGCAGGAGATAGAAGGCTATAAACTATCCTAAAAGGAACAGACTGCAGTTGAAGCAGAGCAGGTGAGGACAAAGTCTACAATATAGATAACAGTGCAAACAATTAAGAGCAGACAGGATCGCCATGAGGTTAGGGTCAGGGATGGGGCTCAGGGATGAGAGTCTAGAGGTCAAAGGTTAGGGTTGTCAGGGGTTAGGCTTAGAGGTTAGGCATTACGGTTAGAAGTTAGTGTTCAGTTTAGGCATATATAGCCCACTTCCTCCATTCCCCTCCTTCCCCCTCCTTCTCTCTGAGGCCTCCAGGATGGACAGGATTTACCCAGGTTCACACTTGAGTGTGGGGTTGAGCTGGGCCATTGTTTTTTTTAACACCCCCTTTCTGGGCTCTGATAGAATAATAAAATGTCTGCTTTAGTCACAGACTGTTTCAAATCCAACTCAACCTCAGTCAAGAGTTGTTAGGGATTCAGATGTCACACAGGGTTTCCCTCTGCCCTCCCACATGGGAGGGTGGTGCTGGCCCTACTCTGCCTGGGCAGCCCCAGGTCCAGCACAGCCCCGACATGCTGGGCACGCAGTAGACGTGTGTGGATTCATACATTGAGCTGCCAGCCCCCAGGTGCTGCCTTCTTAAGGGCTGGTGGGTCCTCCTGGGACTGGATGGATCCTCTGTCCCATCTAAGTGGGCAGCAGTAGAAAACCAAGTCTCAGGCAGAATAGCCCTTGGTCTCTGATGACTTAGGTGGGCATCTGCGGTCCTCCAGCTCAGGCCAGCCTGGGTTCTGTCAAGCCCCTATGGGCAATTACTGAGCTGACCATGCTGCTGGACAATTGAATAGGCAGGGTAGACAGTCTCTTGGGATGTTTTACTTACCAACATCCATGTTGAGACAAATATCCCCTCCCTCAAAGCCTCTTAGCTGCCAAGACAGGTAATAACCTTCCAAACGTTGAGTGTGGCCTTGGCCACAGCAACTATAGAGTGGACCGTGGCCTTGCAGTCATTTGGTCTTCTGCTTGTAATGAAACTTTAACATTCATACTTGTTAAGAATCAAAGATATGGGAGGAACTGGACCTGCCAACAGGCAGCTTCACACTGAGGCCACACGGTCTTTGAGAACCACATGCCTCCAGGGCCCAGTCCCTGTGGCCTCTGGAAAACCAGCCAACTGCAGATTCCATGTTATGGATTAATTCTTGAGCCTCCTGCTTCTTCATTGAATAGGAATATCCTTACTACCCTAGTATTTGTTCTCTTCTCTTAGTAAAAGAGAGAGAAAGGAGACTGGAAAATGAGCATGTTTGTTCTGTGGAGACAGGTGATTAATGTGGGCAGGGGGCAGGCGTGACTCCTGAGCTCCCAACTCCCAGGGACACCAGTGAGGTCTATGTGTCTTTTTTGTGCACATGAGCTATTCTTGGCCAGTCTCTGAGATGTAAGGACCTGACACCCAAGGCAAGAGCCCAGCGTTTACCACCAAGGGCAACCTTGCTTATTCAGCAAGTGGAAGAGCTTCTTGCTATTGTGGGAGGGCAGCAGGAGCACTGGATGGGTGGCTGCAGCCCCTGGCCCTAAGTCTGAACCCCTTTCTTCCTTGGTCTTCAGATTCTGCAGCTGTGCAGTGGGTGGTGAGTGACGGGAATCTGCTGCTGTCCGTCACCCAGCATCTGTTCTCATGCCCAGGTCCAGCACCTCAGTTTTCCTTTGGGAGCTACATCTCACCTGCTTCCAGTCCAAACAGTTCCAGAGGGCTGACCCTACCTTTCACCCACCTTGAAGATGGGTGTATGATCCATGCCTAGCCAATCTTAAGTTCCATCCTCTTGGTGTTCTGGTGGGTTAAGGATGATAATATCGTGCAAGGCAGGCCAAAGGCATTTAAAGCCATGACTTGTTGTGGAACACAAGGGAAGAAGAAACCTTTGCCAGTATAGTAGACAATGAGTTGGTGTCAGCCTGGAGTTTCTGGGGACCCCTGGATGCAGTGAGAGAGACTGCAGCTGTGATTGGGGCCACCCAAAGGCACTTACCAGCATATAGGGTTGGAGAAGGATCAGGTCACATTGTGAGAGTGTGAGCCCCTCATCCTGCCGGATCCAAGCCTACTCTTAAACTTGCTGCTTGCAGGTATGAATTCATTTCTACTATTTAAACTTGGATGACTGCCCCAAGCTGAGCCCCGCATCCACATCTTAAAAAAACCCTGTTAGGACTCATGGCAGCACCATCCTCCCTGCATAAAGAAGACTGACTGTCCCAAGGAGAGCCTGCCCCGACCTAACCCTGAGCCTAGCCCTTATCCAGAATACCCCAGTGAAGTTGCTAACCCTGTTACCGAACCAAACCTGGGTTTACTCACCACTTGAGTGTGCAGTAAAGCCAGTCTGCTGACACTGGGCTGTGAGGAAGGAAAATGCAGCATTTATTGCAGGGCTCCAAACAAGGAGTCCAGAGCAGCTCATCCATACTCCATGAGGGATTACAGCAAAGCATTTTTAAAGGCAAGATGAGGGAGAGGAGTCCCAGGATTTGTGATCAACTCATGCACAATTCTCTGGTTGATGGTCAGGTAATAGGGCAGTTTCACAGAGGTTAACATTATCAGTCTTTGGGTAACAGTAGGTCTGATGGCTAAATGCTTATGGTCATCAAATAGTGTCTTCCATTTGGTGGGTGTTTCAGTATCTGTAAAACAACTCAGGAATGTGCATCTGATACTGTTATCTGGTACTTCAGCGCAGAGGGAAAGCAGAGGGTGTGGGGCGGGGGATCTGTCCCCAGAAGGCCCAGTGGGGTCCTGCTCTGCTACAACCCACAGCACAATTTGCAGCCTCAGAGCAAGAGGGATGCTGGATTGTATTTAGTCCCCAGGTCTCAGGGATGTAAACACCCTCTCCCTCTGGTATTGCTCTGGGCCTAGTCCGCTCCACCTCTAGCCAAAGAACACTCAAAGTTTACTGGGCACTTCCGCCCCGACCCAAGAAAAAGCTGCTATCCCAACATGTTAAGAGCCTCAGTTACTTGGCAGGCCTAGAAAACACAAGCACTGACTGCCCCAGCGGCGCGCCTCTAGAGCCTAGGTGGCACCATGCTCAATCTCCTTTCCCCTGTGTGCTTTTGGAGTCTCCTTGCCTCCCCCTAGCAGAAATACTAGGCCTGAGGCCTGAAAGCGCTTCCTGCCTCCCTAGGCCTCGCTTACTGAGCCACAGGGTTGGCCATGCGCAACCCTCCTTCCCTGCAGTACAAGCACATGGAAAAAGGAGTTGGGAGCCCTGCTTGTCAGCACGACAGATGGGGAATAGGGATGGCGACCAAAGCGTCTTGAGGGGCCTGGGACCATAGCACTCAGAATCCCCTGTGTAGCCTGGGACTACAGCACCCCAGAACCCTTGGTATGCTCCCACTTTTGCCCTCCATCCTGGGGTTATAGCATCCAGAATCCTCAGCTGCCCACTTCCTGGGACTACATCACCCAGAATCCTCAGCGTGCCTTCTCATCCGGGGACTACATACCCAGAATCCTCTGCGCCCCACCCCGCCATCCTGGGACTACAGCACCCAGAATCCTCCACACCTCCCTGGACTTCAAAGCCCAGAGTTTCACCCGCTACTTCAATCTGGTTCATTGGTAGCAGAGGCATCTTTTCTGAGCCTGCAGTTTGTTACCTGGTTGGTGGCTACTCTGGCGCCACTCTTTCCTGCTCTTCTTTTTTTCCCTTGAAAATGGGCAACCAGGACCCGTGAGCGTGGGCCTGCAGCAGCCTGGGCAAACCTCACTGCATGGGCCTGTCCCCAGTTTCCGCAGGGCGGATTGAGGCCAGGGGACTCCCCCTGCTGCCAGCTGGACTGCATCTCTGTGTGCTCCCATGGGGCCTTGGGTTCTTTCCCCTGGCATCTGGGCTTTCATGTCAGAGATGGTCACCTGGCGCCAGGGACATCTGCGCCTTAACCCCAGGTTTCTGCCCAGCCAAATCTTTGAACTTCTGTGACTTCCCTGTCAGCCCCAGGGCTTGAGAGCCATTCCCCCTTCCACCTGGTGGGAAGGCCTTTCCAGCCTGGCATCCTCTTGCTTCTCACTCCAGTTTGTTACCGAATCGGTTGACTGGACCCGTGCCTGGGTCCCAGGCCATGACCCCTTGCCTCAGCCAGAGAGGTTCTTTTTCTGATCAGATAAGCACAACCAATGAGACAGATGCTGAGACTGGAACAGCACAAGCTTTATTCAATGGCCAAAGACTGGCAAAGTGGTAACCTAGCTCCCAAATCAACTTCTCAACCCAAGTAGGTTGGAGACACCAAATATATAGGAGGGTCGAAATGAAGGGGCAGGTTGCGAGGGTAGGGGGTCTGGTCCGGGTGGGGTGGGTGGAGATTGGAAAGAATGGGAGTAATATTCATGACTTAACAGGAATGTCATTGGACCCTACACTGATGCAAATTCTTTTCAATCTTTGTATGGTTGTTTTGGGTTGTCATGGCAATTGTCAACTGACATGGTGCTGGTGGGTGTGTCATTTAGCATGCTAATACATTACAATGAGCCTGTAATAAGGCTAATGGTCGACTGGAAGTCAGATCCTCTGTAGTCTTGGGCAGAGTTGGTTCTAATCAGTTTTTGTGTTTGTCTATGCAGCTTCCTCCTGAAACTTAGATAAGAGTAATTGGGTTCTAGTCAAGGGAGAGTCAGGGGTATGAACCTGGGGCAACAGAGTCTGATATTTCAACATTTTGATGTATCTGTGTCTTTTCTGTTGTATGAAAAATTCTGAAGTTGTATAATTGTGAAAAAATTCAGAATTGCCTGTTTTTCAAATGAAAGTTGACAGTCTATGGCCTTTAGGACTATTCACTGGAGAGGGGGCCAAGATGGCGGAGTTCACTAGCTACTTAGAACTCCGTATTTGATATGAGTGGGGTTTTTTTTTTTTTTTTG